AGGACCATGGGGCCTAGTTGGAATTCCTATCATATATAATGGAAACAAAAACAAAACAGAAAACTAAAATAAAGAGACAAGGTGGGAGGCAAGGACCAGCGTTCAGTGTTGCTCTCTGACTGCCACACACATCAATACACACAGAGCGAAAAACAATTTCAAAAACTTAAAGTTGGGCAGTGGTGGTGCACACCTTTAATCCCAGCACTCGGGAGGCAGAGGCAGGCTGATCTCTGTGAGTTCGAGGCCAGCCTTGTCTATAGAGCGAGATCCAGGACAGGCATCAAAATTACACAGAGAAACCCTGTCTCAAAAATAAAATAAAAAAATAAAACAAAACCTCTAAAACCAGCTGGGTGATGGTGGTGCATGTCTTTAATCCCAGCACCCCAGAGAGGCACAGGCTCGCAGATCTTGTGAAGGGGCCCCAAAATAGCCTGACCACACAGCAGCCATGACAGGCTTAGGGGCCTAGACACAGCTTCTGTGACAGGCTTACTGGCAGGCAACACCCAGACCCAGGAAAAGCCTTAAGCTGATACCACCCAGGGATCCACCAGAAAGTACCTGACATCCCAAACACTCTAACCATTAGACAAGTTAGCCAGAGACCCTTGAGTCTAGCACACATCTATTTTTTGTTACACAAGTAACACTGTCTCAAAAACAAACAAACATAAAAACAAAAGAAAAAAACAAAAACAAACAAGCCAAACCAAACCTTAAAGACATAAAAAAATATATCCTGCCTGCATTTCATGTCATTAAATATAGGCATATTTCTCTTATTGACGTTTTTTACCTTTTGCAGTGTTGGAGACCAGACACAGGCCTTCTAGTCGGTAAGAGGTCCTCAACAGTTCTTGTGATGCCTTCCACGCAATTCACAGGAAGGAGGAACTAATTATCTACAAACCCCTGACCTGTGTGTCTGACCTTTTCCTTCCCACTTGTGCACTGGTGCCTTAGGACAACCTTTTCTGTTATTAGGTAGAGCAAAGACAAATTTTACAGTTTGATGAACTATCCAAATTGTCCTTTGGGACCTTCATTCGGGGTCCCTGGATTCAGGGAGGGCTGGGCAGTGTGTGTGGTGGGAGGGAGGAGAGGGCGGACACACATGCATGTTTATCTACAAATCTCCTCTGTCGCTGGCACTGTTTCTCAGGGGATAGCCATCTTTTTCCTGAGTTCGTCAGAGGCCAGAGATACAGAAGGCTTATTAGTACTGGGTGTGAGTAAGTGTCTAGCAATGAGCTAAACACGCAAGTAGCCTTCACCAGAGCCCATTGTCGCTGTTTTACACATGAGGGAAGGGAACTCTAGGGAACAGCTGAGTCCTCCACCGATCCTTCTGGAAACTGCAGCTTGGTTATTGTTTGGCTTTCCTCACTGGGAACCATCCAGAGCTTGGACAACCTGCACCTGGGCTCTGTCCCCTCCGGTCTGCCTCCGGTCACCCCTCTTGGAGCTCTGCTTGTCAAGACAACATGCTGTCTGCTCGAGGGCCTGTGCTTTTGTGTCCTGTCTCTATCTCCTCTGCAAACACTTTCCATACACTCTGAGTCCTTTTTGGTCCATGTGGCAGTCACCTTACTCCATGGCCTGGGTGACAGTAGCCATGGTGTCTTTACTCTCATTGCCTAGCTCTGTGTTGTCTTGTTTTTTAACTGAATTCGCTCATGCACACATTTACTTAGTGTTGAGTCTTCACACCTGTTCTCCCCTAACTGTTGGAGGCTCTTTGTGGAGTCGGTTTTGCACAAAATATCTATTTTATTATTATATTCATTCATTGTGTAGGGGGAAGAGGCAATCTTTGGCTCTCTTGCTATTGTACTATTTAAAATCCATGTGCCTGCCCCTCAAGATTAGCTCACAATGGCTGCAGGGACTTGTTTGAATGTGAACTGTCACATGAGAGTACTGTCAACACCCAGATGGAAATAAAATTCCATCAACCTGCTGGCAGAAAGAGTTACACGGGACTGTGACTGACCGTTGTATATTGGATGAAACCTGGTCTTTGATGAGATGATCTTAGGCTGTATTATGAGATGCCAAATACTCCTGTCAGTTCTTCCTTTTGCTTAGACATTATTTAACCTAATAAAAGAAAACTATGTAGAGCATTGTGTCTGATTTCAATTTTGTTTTGTTTCTGTGGGGTTTTTAGTGGGAGGGACAGGGTCTTATTGTATATTTCAAACTGGCCTCAGATTTACAGAGGTCTGTCTGCTTTTACCTCTCAGTACTGGGATTGAAGACGTGCATGCCTGGTAATTTGTTTTTTTAATAGCTCACTGGTAAAGCACTGGCTTAGCATTCATAAGTCCCTGCTTTCCAGTCCCAGGGAGCACACAAACGCACCGAGTTTGAGACAAGTCTCTGTCTGGTTTTTCTATATGTCAAATGAAGTTAAGAACAGAAATTTGGCAGATGACAGATCACAAACATGTCAGGTTGTAAGTCAGCCTCTCTTTTGACTAATTCAGAAACATGTAACTGTAACACTCCTTTACCATCCTCAGCCTGTCTCTCTTCTAAGTATGTTTTCCCTTTCTCCGTGTAGCTCTGGCTATCCTGGAACTCTCTTTAGATCAGGCTGCTCTTGAACTCAGGGAGATCTGCCTGCCTCCGCCCCCAGAGTGCTGGGATTAAAGGCATGCGTCTGTGCCACCATGTCTGACAATTTACTCTTTCTCTGAAGTTTCCCTCCCTTCCCTATGACTGTTGGCCATATGCCTGACCCCTATGCCAGCTTTTAAATGGCAGGATTTTCCCCCCTTTTCTCCTCCATTCTCTTCTGCTGAGCAGCAGCTAAGGTTTTACTACTTGCTTGCTCTGGGATTTTTTTCAGGAAGAGCAGTTTCTTAGTTAGGGTTACTATTGTTGTGATGAAACATCGTGACAAAGCAACTTGGGCTGTGTGTGGGGGGTTTATTTGGCTTACACTTGCACATCACTGTTCAACATAGAGGAAAATCAGAGCTGGAATCTGGAGGCAGGAGCTGATGCAGAGGCCATGGAGGAGTGCTGCTTCCTGGCTTGCTCAGGGTCCTTTCTTATGGAACACAGGACCAACAGCCTAGAGGTGGCCCTATCTAGAAAGGGCTGGGTCGTCTCACATCAATCACTAATTAAGAAAATGCCTGGGGCCTGAGAGATGACTCAGTGGTTAAGAAATTGGTGTTTTTCTAGAGGACTTATGTTCAATTTCCAGTACCCACATGGCCGCTTGCAACTGTCGGTAACTCCAGTTCCAGAGCATCTGACAGCCTCATATAGACATACTTTCGGGCAAAACACCAATCAATGTTCATAAAATAAAAATAAATAAAAAAATGCCCTACAGGTTTACCTACAGCCAAATTATTTTCTCAGCTGAGGCTCCCTCTTTCTGCTGACTCTAGCTTGTGTCAAGTTGATATAACACTAGCCAGCACAAACAGGTAACAGTTCAGTTTCTGTTTAACTTTTGATCTCAGTGATTCCATTTTGAATTTTAGCCCAGCCTGTTTCCCCAGCGAAAAAGCTTCGTCTATAAAAACAACCTGTTGTAATTTTTATCTAACAAGTCTATTAAGTAGATGGCAGTAGGCACATTAACAAAATAAAAGTATATACAATATTGTGCTCACAAGGGCACTACTTGAACAACATTCAGAACTCTGGTTATCTTTAGAAGCTTATATACCTTCCCCGCAGGTGAGACTGGGAGAGGATGTGGGCAACTGAGAGCAATCAGAGCACTGGGTCCTCAGAGTCAGGGCAGACTGAGTGTGATGTTGACCTTAGTCCCGAAGGTCAGCTGTTTAATTTTGGAGGTTGAGTCGTTAGGCAGATGAGCTGGGCTTGGGAAAGCCCCACTGGAACTACTGTTTCTCATTACTTAGTAGAAGAAATTTTGCAAAATGCCAGAGTGCTCTGTCCAGAGTAAACGGGCCTGGTGGAGATTTGTAATGCAAAACCTGTAACCCCAGTTACTTCGGGAGTCTCGAGCTGTAAAATTCAAGGTCAGAGGTGGAATAAGAAGGCGGGATAGGGCTCTAGTGTGCGATGCTTGTTTAGCATGCGCGGGGTCTTGCAGTCAATGTCTAACAATGGGGAGAAAAAATAATTCTCCAAAAGCCAAAACCAACCAAACAAAAAGAACAAAGAGAAAATAGTCTGTGTGGTGAGACGGTGGTTGAAAATCAAGACACTGAATTCTACTCGGCATTCCATGCTGGTAATGATGGGGCCTCTCCAGCTCCAAATAAGTGATGACGGTTGGGAACGGGGCACAAAGGAGGATCACCTAAGTCGGGACTGCTGGTCGACCTGGCCGACCTCGAGTGTGCTAGCCTTTCTTCCAAACCTCGGGACTACAACTCTCCACGTCCATAGGGCGTGTGAGTCACACTAAGCTATCTGATCGCTGTCTCCGAACTTTATGGGTCAGTTTCCACCATCAGAGGCTTGAGCGTCCTTCCTCCCTGTCTGCTTCCGGGCAACCGCAGGCCCCTAGGTCGGTCAGTCAGGGTCGCCCATAAGTCGCCGCCAGCTTCGGAGGCCTCCAGGCCTAGGGCTAGCGCAGGGTGGCGCTCCCCGCTCTATTCGGCCGCTTTCGCCTATAGAGACGCCACTGAGGCTCACCGGCCAGGCTGGCCGAACCTTCCCAACGCGCAGCCGGCGCTGTCGAATCCACGCGAACCGGAGCGGGCAACTGCTACTGCGCACGCGTGGCTTCAGGGCCGGGCGGAAGTCGCCGCCGCCGCGCCGCCACCGCATGACGCACTTCCTGTTTGTTGTTGGAGAAAAGGAGAGAAAGGAAAGCGCGAGGAGACGCCGCCACCGCCACCAGCGCAGCTGTGCCAGAGCCGCGAGGAGACCGGCCGCCCGACTCCCCCCCCCCTCGCCGGCCGCCGCGTCCTCGGTGAGGGACTTGCGGACTGGGGCGGAGAGCAGGGGTGGCGGTGGCGGGGGAGGAGGGCCGGCGGCTGGGTGCGGATAGGGTGACCTGCTCGGCGCCCGGGACACGGGCGCAGGGAAGCCGGGCCGACAGTGGGGTCGGGACTGCTCGCCAGGGCCGAGCGGGTTCCAGTCCAAGCTGTGGTCTAGAGTCTGGTCCTGAGGCCTAAGTTGTTCCTGGTCCGGGCCGGCTCTAGACTGGGTCCGTGGAAAGAAAGCGTCTGCCGAGCCGGCTCAGGCCTAGCCCGGGGCTTAGCCGGGCTCCGCTCCCCTGGCTCCCTGGTCTGCAGTGGCGGTTGGGCCCGGCACGCGCGAGGTCCGCCCCAGAGCCACAAGAGTCGGCGAGACCGGTGTCACCCTGTCCTGGCATCCTCAGTGCATTCTGCAAGCAAGGGGTCAGGTGGCATGCGAAGAGCAGGACTCTAGGGGAGGCGCGATCACCGGGCCAGGCTGCCTAGGGGGCCGGGTAGGGAGGGCCAAGGAGGTTTCCAAGCTTCTCCTGGGACTGTTGGGAAGTTTGCTAGGCAACCTGCCTTGCTCAGTTTACTTCCAAAACCCGTTTTCTGTTTGTTTGCCTTGAAGGGTGCTTTGCTTTGTTTGGGTTTATGTAACTAAAGTTTATGTAACTGAAGTTTACATTAATTCTCTTCGGTCTTAATTCTCTTCGGTCGTGTCGACAAGGGAACTCTAAACTGCAAGCCATAAGATTGTCTTGGAAAAAAATTTTTGGTGATTTTATTTTACCGAATGGGTTGTTTGTCAGGAGTTTAAAAAGCTTGGTTACCGAAGTTGTGTGTGCACTGTGAAGTTGTGTGTGCACTGTCGAAAGGGGATGGAGGGGACGGTCCCGCCTTTTCAGGCACGCCCAAGCCGGTGGGGAGTGTAGGCCCAGGGCACCCACTTTGTTTTTATTAATGTCTTTATTTGAACCATGGATTTGTGGTCAGGTTTTATGGTTAGTAAGTCCCCGGTATCCCCCTCTTTGTAGGCCCTATAATCTAGGGAATTGAACTCCGGACTTTTCTGCTTGCTAGGGAAGTGATAGCTACATTAAGGCACCTGCTTTAATAGAAAAAGGAGGGAACGGTCCTAAAGAAAATGCATGCTGGATGTTTGAACTTAGTCTGTTGTTGGTAGTGAAGTAAATCTAGACCTAGAGATATCTGAAAGGAATTGAGCACATCTGTTACCGGACTCCCTTATTCTCTGGGATGTCACCACCACAGGGAGAATTGCCCTCCGGTGTGTGACTACTACGGCTGTCTGTGATCAATGCAGACACTTGCAGTGAACTGCACGTGGAGCTTTGGAATTGAGGAAAAAAGAAGAGATTTGGGAAGAAATGCTGCCTTCGTGTAGGTATGCGTGATTTGGTAGAAAGGAAAACAAAAAGTTTGTAAAGTAAGTTTCCTCTTCCATTCGCTGTTTGGCACAGGCAGACTTGTGAAAAATTGGCTTCTGTTGTGTCTGTATTTTGAAGGAGAAGTTGGCCTTGTATTTTGAGACAGGAGTTCTGTGTAGCCCTGGCTGTCCTGGAACTCAGCAGTGTATGAATTCTGAGATTTGCCTGCCTCTGCCTCCCCAGTGCTGGAATTAAAGGGGTGCCCCACCACGCCCGGCTAAGTTGGCTTTTAAAATACTTTTATTTGTGTGTGCATATGAAAAGTGTGTTCTGGCACACTAATGGGAATCCTCCATCCATCGATCTCTCTTTTGCTAGTACTAACTCTCTGCATTTATATAGCTTACAGTACTGGATCTGAATTTGTTTTTTGGACTTTAGGGTCTTACTGTGTAGCCCTGGAACTCAGTGATCAGTATGATTGCCTTTCAAGTGCTGGGCTTAAGCCACCATACCCTTTTTTCCCATTATTTTCTTTTGGCTACAGGTTTCACTTTTTAGCTGTAGTTGGCTTAGAACTTGCTGTGTAGATGAGGATGGTCTGGCATTCACAGATCCACCTGTCTCTGCTTCCAGAGTGGTGGGGACTACAGTAGTGTTTCACCATGCTTGGCCCAGAGTACAACTTTTGGAGTTACTTCCCTCCTTTCATGGGTTCCTGGGGTGGAACTTAAGTTGTCAGACTTGTGGGACCGAATTATTTGGCCAGCAGGCCCAGCTCCATAGCCTGAGAAGTTGGCTTTTTTTGTTTGGTTGGTTT